CCATTGGGACCTGTTCTGCCTTCTATGCTTGATCCATCAGGTGGGTTAAGAACACCTCTTAGTTCATTGTTTTCTTGCATTGTTAACCCAGGAAGATCTCCTAGTTTTGCACTTATGTCTATTAACTCAATATTCTCACGGTCAGCGTATTCCTCATCACTGTCATCAAATTGCGGCTCTTCTCTAGTGTCCTCATCACTTCCAATTATATTGTCAGGATTCGTAGGTACCTCTTTTATTTTCTTTATAAGGTCCTTGTATTCTCTTAATGCAGTGGAGTTCTTGGAGTACACAGGTTTACTGGTCTTACCACGTTTCATTATTTGTGTGCCACTTTTGTCAATACCTTGTTCACTTCTAAATACCAACACCTCTGTGCCATCCTTGAGTGTTCTTACAGATGATCTCTTGATGAGTTCCCTAACATATTTATTCTTAGGGTCTAATATTAGTCCCTCCTTACCTTTAATAACTCTCGCGACAGCTTGAACACGCTCCACTTGGTTTTCGAAATCTCTCTTTTTATTTTCTGTTGAAATCTTATTTAGTTTCTCTAGGCGGGCTTCTATTTCATCCCAGTCAGCGTCAAATGATTCGTTGAATGCATCTAGTACGTCTGGAAGTACATTGTTTGGATCTTCTACGAAATCTACTCCCGGGGTGGTTGTGCTTCCTGATGGACCTGAAATGTTCACAGTTCCATCACTTCCCTCGGTGAAAGTTGTTTCTTCTATTTCACGTCTCTCCATTAGATTCTTCACATAGTCTAGTTCACTTTTAAGATCAGTTAATACTATAGGGTCATCACCATACATAGCCTCTCCCTTCACCTTTGTATCTAACCTACTAAAAGCTGTCGTTAGGTCATCATAATTGAGGTCGTCATATTGAGGATAACTTTTTTCTGTCTCCTCCAACTCAATGTCATCGTAGTCCTCCATAATACTTTAACTTATGTTACGGACTTGATGTCTCCAGCTGGTATCCAACTGTTAAATTTGTCATCATAACCTAACCACTTAATGAGAGCCATCTTTTTACCCTTCACTGTTCTTCTTCTTAATACTTTCTCTATTCTGAAATCAGGTTCTCTTCCTTCAGCGCTATACAATTCTTGTTTATAGAATCTGCCAATTATTGGTTCATCAGCACTGTCTTTTATTGTGTACGTGTTTGGATGGCCGTGATACACTTCTGTCACAGTGAATAACTCCTCTGTGAAGTTAGCTTCGTACCCTTTTGTGAACACTGATTTGTATTTTGAAATTCTAACACTTTCTCCGACAGCAAACTTTGGTTCTGATGGCTTGCCTAGATTGTGACTAAAAAGTGTCTTCCATACTTCAGTCCAATTGGACTCATTTACACTGTCTGGTGTTGTTTTAATTGATCTGTTCACTGAACTGTTGCAATTATCAGTTAAGTCTTGAAGAACGTCTAACCATTTATATGTACTGGCACTGTAGAAGTACTTCCACATTAGAACCTTCAGTGTTCTGTTAAATCTTTCCACAACCGCGGCCTTTTTGTCTGAGTAAGTAGAGAAAAACTCAATGTTATTTTTATTGAGCAAAGATTTTACATCTTTATTGTAGAACTCTGTGCCCTGATCAAACTGGGCGAATTTTGGGTATTTACCAAAACGATTATTAAATTGCTCTAAAATGTTACTGACTGCGTCCTTCATTGATGTCGCGTTTTTTCTATACACTGGTACTGTGAATGCGTACCTACTCAGTATTTCAATGGATGTGAGAATCCATCGGTATCCCTTGTTCTTGTCATCATATTTTGTCATGTCAACTAAATCCATTTGTAACTGCTCACCTAAAGTTTGAACGTACGTCTGTCTGAACTTATGTTTCCTGAACACTTGTCTGTACCTAGTGTATGTGTCCTGCTCGTTTATCCATTTCTTGACCTGGTTTCTGGTTACTTTAAGTCCGTCTGATACTGCTCTAAGATATAGTTTCTCTGGTGTTTGAAATCCAGTCTTAGGATTGTAGTAAATATCTCGTAGTCCCTGTTCTTTCATAATATCATCGTCCATCTTATATTAACCAATGTAAGCTTGCTACTCAAGGTACATCTCAAGTAGCACTTCACCTATATCAATAGGTTTCCCATCTTGATCTGTCATGTAAAATACAAGTTCTGAGAAAGAACCCTTGACTACAGGAATTCTGCTTTCTACATCGATGTAGCTAACAACTGAGCCCAATAACGGTCTGTCAGTTGGAATTGTAACGCTTGTTATTACATCACTATGTCTTCCCCAGATGTTAACATTAAAGCTGTTATTAGCTAGATTGCAGTGTATATTTACACCTCGTAGACCATTATTAAAGTCAACTTTGCTATCACTTGTTAAACTCCTTCCTTTTAGTAAAACCATAGGATTACTAAATCTATTAAAGCCAAGCATTGTTAAAAACCTGGTTTCTATTGTAACGTCTTGCTTTACAGCTTCAACCTGACATCCTGCTGTTTCTGGAAAATATGTTAGTTTAACACCGTGTCTCTCAAGTAATTTTCTCATACTATCAAATGTGTAGTAACCCTTGTTGACAATGACATCGGATTCCCCGTCAGCTGTTTTTACCTTGAGAATAGTTGTTGGTCCTGTTATATTGAAGTATTCCCAGAACACTGAAACTCTCTTTATGAAGACTGAATTATAATTGCTAGTTAAAACTGAATTCTGTAGTAAGACATTTGTGTGCGAACCTTGAAGTAAAACTGTAAACTTCATCTTAATAACATACGTTAGGTTATTAAGAATGATACCAGGTGGAGGAGACGTTGGGAAGTCGCCTTATAGGTCTTACCAAGATTATGAAAAAAAGTATGGAAAAGAAGATGAAAATGATGTTGATCCTATTGCTGGTAAAAAAGCTGAGAATGCTGAGAGGGCTAGGTTTGTTAGAAGGTATATCCTAAGGCTGATATGAACAGGTTTAGGTTTGAAGCTATGACTACAAGTAGTGGTGATATTGGAGTTGTAACATGGTTTGTGGACTTAGATGGCATAACTTCATATGACATTAGGTATGGCGGCTTTCTGAATAATAAGGAGTTCACATCTTATCTTACTGGTACTAAGGAAAAGGTTGAGGTGCCTGTTCAGTTCGTACCTATGACAGACATGGATCAGCCTCCGTTAGAAGCACCACGTGAAGTTAACGGGTGGCCTGCAATGTGGGCCTCCGGAAAGGGAACTGGATACGGGGTAAATTCTGATGACACGGTTGATGGTCACAGTTACTTTCCTAAAATAAGATGGTCCAAGGATGTTAACAATTTTAAGTTGTATGTTGACGCTACAAGCTTCTTTACTACAACAGGTGGTGCAGGTGGATTTCTACTTCCAAGTATATCAAGTCTTATTACCACTAAGGGTGTTGATGTAAAGTTTGATTATAACAAGCCGTATTTTGCTGCACTATGCGGGGCATATATTGCTACACATCTTAGTGGAATCACAACTAGTCATATGACTCCTAGTAATGATGTTTATCCTGTTATTACTAGTGTTATGGACTTTCATGTTTACTATACCATCAGGAAATTTGTGTACAACCCTGAGAGGCTGAAACCATATTTAAGTAGGTTGGGTCCCGTAAAGAGTCACATTCCAGTTGTTGGTAAGTGGGAAAATAAAACTGATACTTATAGAGTCGCCTATGATAACGGACTTGAGTATGAAAAAGCAAGCTGGCTTAGGAAGAGAGGTAGTGATAGCAATCCGGTTAGGAACGTTGTTGCGTCCCCTATAAACTCAGTCAATGGATTTCTAATTAAGATAAAAATTAGTTATGAAGAAAGGGTTTCAGTAAGTCTGGTAGGTAAGTCTGACTATAGAAGGTTTATTGCTGTTAACAACCTGGTTGTTCCGAAGAATATTACCGAAACTGGGCTACTATTACTAAATGAGTCAGTGCAGGCGTTCTCGTATTCCGTACTAGGTGCACAAGCATCAACAAGAACTCCAATTGTAGGTGAGATGGGAAAGTCATTTTCTACCCAGGTGAAGTTCGGTAATATTGTTCACGATTGTGTTGTACAAGCGGATCCCGTTGTAACTCTATCTAATATGAGAACGGCTATCAGGGACACAAATTTTATACTTAATACAGCTATTACACCTGGAATGGTTCTGGTTCCATCCAGTCTAATCATTCTAAAGAACCCCGTTCCTGGATATAATAATATTCTTGTAAATGCTTCTTATAATATGAAGCGTGGAGTTAACACTAAGGTAAACTATGTTGGAGTTAAAAAGCCTGATCCTCCTAAGAAGCAACATCAGGATACAACACCTACTGCTCACCTTGATACTCTCAGTGGATATTCAAAACAGACTAAGATATCTACTGCAGCCAACTCACCTGGGCACCTTAAGGATAAACTGAGAGTGGAAAACTTAGGTTATAAAACTACTGTCAGTACTAATGAGTCTTCAGGAGCCAGTGCTATTGCTGGAGCTGGAATTGGTGCTATAGTTGTATTCATTCTAATGAAAGTTGTCCTGTAAATATTCTATAAAATGGCTCTCTATAGAGGATACAATAAAGGAGTAAATAAAGTTGACCCATCAAGTGGTAGTGTGTTTGATAAGGATGGATTTACTATGAAGGGTGACATTGAGATGGACGGTAATGAGGTGAAAGGTCTGGGTGCACCTACAGATGATACTTCTGCGACCACAAGAAAGTGGGTGGATGATGAGATCATTAAACGGGCTGCTCTTACAATTCAACCAGCAGGGTTTACAATGACTGGGGATATTAACATGGGAGGTAATAAGATAACTAATCTTGATAATCCTACTAATCCGGGTGATGCTGCTAGTAAGAGTTGGGTTGAAGGCAGTCGTAGGCATATACATGTAAGCCTACCTGGTCTTATTCTTACAAATGATCTCAATATGTCAACCAATGAAATAAAGGCTTTAGGCGATCCCACAACTGGAAAGTCTGCTGTTAGTAAGGACTGGGTAGTTAGTGAGCTAAATAAACCTGTATCTGGGGATATTGATATGAAAGACCATGAGATTAAGAATCTTAAGGATCCCTCTGAGGATCAGTCAGCTATCACAAAAAAGTGGGCGGTTGATAATAACTTTGTTAAAAAAGGTGGAACTATGCAAGGAGATGTTTCCATGGGAGGCTGGAGACTATTTGATATTATTGACCCTAAACTTAGTAGTGAAGCTGTATCTAAAGGTTGGGTTGAGAGTAAGCTGTCTACAATTCCCAGTTCCTCAGGTTTTACAATGTCAGGTGATCTTCAAATGGGTGGACATGAAATTAAAAACGCTGGTAATCCCACTACTGACTAATCTGTTGTTACAAAAAGGTGGTTTGACTCAAACAGGGGAACATTTCTAAGGCTAAGCGACTCTTTCCTATTACAGAGTGTAACCGGGCCTATTAGCTTCTCTAAGGCCCCTAAAAGTTTCTCAGATGGATTAGATTCAGCCAGTCTTGTAAGATTTAGCCAGCTAGTTACCTATCTTAAACTAAACGGTCTAAGTGAAATGACTGGTAATCTTAAGATGGGTGGAAATGAAATTGAAAATATTGGTAATCCTAGTGTTGATACATCTGCTGTTTCCATGGGGTGGGTAAAAAATAATGTTGTCACGCGTGCGGGTGGTTCTAAAAACAATATGACCGGTACCTTGTGGATGAAAGGTAACAGAATACGTGAACTCGGAAATCCTGAGTATCTCACAGACGCTGTAAATAGAGGGTGGGTTGAAAATAAGATCTCTGGAGGTAGACGTAAACGTGAGACTTACAGTGGTATTACACTATCTGATGACCTTGACATGAATAACAACGAAATAATAAAGTTAGGTGCTCCTACTACTGATAATTCTGCTGTGTCTAAGAAATGGGTCACGGATCATGTCAGCGTGAGTTCTACGAGTAGTAGT